TTTTTATTAGTACACTTTTGCATTTTAAATTCAAATTTAAAATGCAAAAGTGTACTAATAAAATGTTATCCAAATTGCATGAAACTTTCAAAATAGATGTATTTTTAAATTCTGAACAACTTTTATTAAACAACTTTTATCGATTTACTTAGTATAATTTCGACTTATATATATAGAAACTATTTTTTTATATATAAAAACTATGTTTATTTAATAAAAAATAGTCAAAAACCTCTATTACTCGAAAATAAGCTACTCCTGAAATTTTCGTATAATTTTTTGCCCAAAAATGGTAGCTTATTTTCGGGAATATACAGTAATTCGTAATTGTGATATAATACATTGTAGTTAATTTCAGTACTCTAATTATTTTGAAAAAAAAATTTATTATAGATAAGTCCCTGTATTTCATACGATGTTATTCATATAAGTCTGTACTACTTGTATTTAAATTTTTAAAGCGATCTAGAAGCTTTGACCTAACAAAATACTCTTTAATAAAAATGCACTATTTTCCGGGTAATTAGAGTTTATGCCTTTCATTTGCGATATATGATATATGCAATGATATAGCAGTTGCACAATCACATGATCTGGGTTTTCATGAGTTACTATAGCCAATTTCAGTTTGTTTTTCAATAAAAAAATTTTATTCAAGGTTTATATTTTTACTAATTATTTTAGCAGGCAAATTTGCTAGCTAAACCAGGACAGTTTAAGAGATAACCACTATATTTATAAAAATAATTTATAAAACTATAGATTTAAAAATAATTAAAATAATTATCTTGTAATAAAACTTTTAAATCAACTCATATACCGTAAAAATCAGACCCAGGTACCCAGGTATTTTCATAATTTAAATTTATATTCGGGGTACTTCTATATAGAAGGTATACTGTATAGAGTCAATATGTTTTACTATATATACTTGCCATGATATATATAGTGTATATAATACATGTATACTCAAGTATAAATCACCATCTAGCTCTTGAAACTGGTGGAGGGTACACAGCATGGAGGGGTATCTGGATCTAATTTTTACGGTATATAGAAGTAAGTTAATAGAAACACACTATGTTTTTTTTAATAAAATTTTTTTGAATCTTCAAACAAAAATAAATCAGCAAAAACTTAACCAAATTTAGTAAAAATTTTTTTAAATAAATTTTACAAGTTTTTGAATTAATTTAAAAAATTTTTTATTAAATTTAATTAAATTATTGTTGAATTATTCTTGTTTAAAGTTTCAAAAAAATTTACTTAGAAAAAATATAGTGCATTTCTACTAGCTTACCTTATATATACCAAAATTAAATTATTCTATTACAAATTAATAAATTAATATAGTAAAGGTACGAACATGTAAAGGTGAAAGTTTATTTAGATTAGTTTGATTTCACATAAAGTAGCAATATATAAAATAAAATATTTATTATAGCTAGGCTTTATTATATTTAGAAAATTTAATTTACTAAATCTAAATATATATTCTTATTAGAATATGAGTAAATATTCATTATATATTTATTTGTATTTTTATAAAGTGTATTAACTAATACAATTTTTCTTTTGAATCTTAAATCATTATAATAAAAAGATAAAAACTATAAGGTACTGTTCTCATAAAGGCCATTGGCTAATGCAATTCCCCTTCTGATCTAAGTTTATTATTGCTAAGAACCAGAATAATCAAAGAGGTATTTGTACTAATTGTGATAGCAAATTCTTGCCTAATTTCTAATCCAATATCGTAATTTTGAAATTTCAAAAATCTCAATATATTGTTTGTATGAAGTGCACCTGCTAAAAATTTCCTACTTTTGACCCAACATTTTAATCTTGGTCCTCTCTTGATCCGCAAATACTTAAATAAGTTATCATTCTATTATTTTTAAGAAACCTTTCTAAAATTTTCCTCTATCTGATATGCATTAAATACCAAAAGAATTTAATATTCTGTTTTGGTAAAGAGGCTTCAATAATTTTTGTAATCTTTTATTTTTAAGTTGAACTGCTCTAAGTTTTAAAGAAGTCAAAGTATAATTATTTTCAAGATTCGTTACTAGTAATACATAATATATAGTATATATATATATATATTAAAAACGTGAGGACTTTTTTTTCGAGTGATCTTACCAAAAAAAGAGTATACGTTGCAAGTGTTTTGATGATCTTTGATCGTGGTACGTATTTGCAATACGCAAAACAAAAGGATCAAAATTCTAACGGTTTTAGGGGGTCAAGTAGAAACTCTTTATTCCGATTTCATTATGATCCGTGACAAGTATCAGCTGATTTCTCGGGCAGTTCTTTCATAAACACTTTGATGAATAACTGGTGCAAAGAAATGATATATATTGGATTTTCAATACTCAAATATATATGTAATGAGGTTGCAATTTCTCTGTAGCCTACAGATCCACTTGAATTTCAAAATTTGTAAGACTAGAGCCAGAATGCGGTACTAGCAAACTGATGGACACCCAGGATTACTTCTATTTCTTATAGAGTTGAATCTATAATAATTTGATATTAAAATTACTAACATTCTTTATACAGTAGTAACGAATTTTAAATTTTCGATATAAACTTTACGCTTTAAAAATAAACATTATGTCCGGCTTATTCCTTTCTAAGAAATATATTAATATAAAAAGTTCTTTAATGAATTAAGTATCTTTCTTATGATTATAAAGAATCGATATTATATCATGTTCTACATTGTCTACGTTACACATTGATCTATAAATTTTATTGGTTACATTTCGCGAAGAAATTTTCGGGGTTCATTAAACCCAATTCTTTAATTAATAATAATACACGTTTTTTATTTCCTAATATAATATGTATCATATAGTGTATATAAACCTACCTTCAGAAAAACGCGTTTGGATAAAAATACATTCTTAAAACGAAGCCATGAATTTAGACAATTTCGAGGAAGCTGAAGAAGTAGGAGTAGGAACAAAAAAGATACACAAAAAAAAAAAAAATTTAACCGACATACAAAAAGCGCAAGATGAATTTGCTTCAGAGTATGGATGTATTTTTATGGACTTTTGTGAAGAGTACGTCAAATAATAAATTGCTGTCGTTGATTTCTATAATGTTATTATAATAATGTTACATTTATACGCGTTTTTTGCTTATTAATTTTAAATTATTTCTTTCTTATTCATATGTCAGATATATGGGGGAAAATGATGATGATCCCCCATATATTGAACAATTAAAAGATTTATCAATGACAGGAAAACGCACTTTGTATGTCGATTTTAAGCACGTAATGCACTATAGGCAATCAGATTCTCTATCAAAAGCCATTTCTCAACAATACTATAGGTATGCCTAGCATATATAATCAATCCCATTGTTTTTTTGAATTTGAAAATCGCGTCACCTTTGATGCTCATTTAAATAATAAAATTTTATAAAGGCTAGAACCGTATCTCCGAAGGGCGGTTGAACGTCTCATGGAGATACATTGTTCTGACAAAACCAAAAAACCTGTTGAAGACACACAGGGCCGCGAAGGTCTGGTGACTCTGGAAAAATCTTATTCCTTGGAATATTCTGTGGCTTTTTTTAATCTCCCTTCTCAAAATCGAATCCGAGATTTAAAAACTGATAAGATAGGGACTTTAATGAGTATATGTGGTACTGTAACAAGAACGAGTGAGGTTCGACCTGAATTACTTTATGGGAAATTTATTTGTCAAGAATGTAAAGTTGAAGTTGAGAATGTTGAGCAACAGTTCAGTTATACAGAGGTAAGTGTAATATTTCTATTTTGGCAGTTATGAAATTTTTAAATAGATTCTTTTCACTCATGAATAAATATTCTTTTTTAAAGCCAATCATGTGTCAGACTCCAACATGTTCCAACAGAGATTCATGGGTACTTAAAATCGAAGAATCCAAGTTTACAGATTGGCAAAGAGTTCGGATTCAAGAAAATCCAAATGAAATACCTACAGGAAGCATGCCTAGAACGTAAGTCATAATTTGAAATAAAATTGTTAGTTAAATTCAGAATTGTTGTAACTCTACCTCTTATCTTCAATAATATGAAAAGTCTTGAAGTTATTCTTCGTCACGAAATGGTTGAAGGTGCAAAACCCGGAAACAAATGCATTTTTACGGGTACACCTCTTGTTATTCCAGATATTCATCAATTGGGCGTTCCAGGTCTGCCAACATTTCTTAATCTCATTGGATGTTTCATAATAAAAAGATTTTTTTGTTTCATACATTCATGTATTTATTTTCAGGTGTTGGAGCTGAAGTTCAACGTGATATTCGTAATAGTAAGTTCAAAGGAGCTGATGGATTAGCCAACGCTGGAGTCACGGGTCTAAAGTCTCTTGGTGCTAGAGATTTGTCATATAAAATATCTTTTTTGGCATGTACGGTACATACTGTTGAAGCAAAGGTACATCCCTTTTTTTAACCAAAATCGATGATCTTTATTCTGATTTAGCGTTTAACGTCTGTTCTCTTAAAAATAAAATAGCGTGACGCCTTGAATAGACTAACAGATGAGGATGATCTTGAAGATCATGAAGCGCTTGTTAAATCAATGAAAAAGATGGAGAAAGAACTTTTGGAAGAAATGAGCAAAGATGAAAGAATTTTCGATAATCTAGTCAGAAGTATCGCTCCAAGCGTTTTTGGTAATAAGTTCTTTTATATTATAAATTATTTTGTTTATACGAATTGGCACATCTGTAACTGATTAACCTATTCAAAATTTAGGACATGAAGTAATAAAAAAAGGAATATTACTTCAACTTCTAGGAGGTGTTCACAAAGAAACTTTAGAGGGTATGAATCTCAGAGGAGATATAAATGTCTGTGTAGTGGGTGATCCTAGCACTAGCAAGAGTCAGTTCCTCAAGTAATTACTATTTTCCCAAAATTTCGACTTTTCTTTTCATTCGGTCAATTTGTAACCTTTAGTATTATATTTATGTAGATATGTTTGCCGGATACATCCTCGCGCTATATTTACGTCTGGAAAAGCCTCTTCCGCTGCTGGGTTGACCGCGGCTGTTGTCAAAGATGAAGAGTCTGGCGATTTTACTATAGAAGCAGGTGCTTTAATGCTAGCGGATAATGTAAGCAATATAATATTTTTTCTTACCAGTTGGATTACCTATATCATATAGATCATCGTATACATTTTTTTCATTCGATTATTCTATTAGGGAATTTGCGCTATTGATGAATTTGATAAAATGGATATTTCTGATCAAGTTGCTATTCATGAAGCTATGGAACAGCAGACAATTTCTATCGCAAAAGCCGGAATTCATGCGACTTTGAATGCTCGAACATCAATTTTAGCAGCGGCAAATCCGATTGGTGGTCGATATAATAAAAGACTATCACTTAGAGTAATGTGTAAATTTAATATAGTTTGTTCGAATGATATTTCAGGGTTAGCTCAAGTAAATCTTTTTTTTATAGCGAAATATTGCAATGTCAGCTCCAATCTTGTCTCGGTTTGATCTATTCTTTGTAGTATTAGATGAATGCAAGCCGGAAATAGATCAGATGATAGCTGAGTATATCGTAGGAATTCACAGATTAGGAGATGACAACATTAATCCACCCTACGATACTGAGACACTTCAGAGGTATATTCGCTACGCAAAAACTTTCAAACCTAAGGTTTGTAGTATATCAAGTATTGAAATTTATAATATATTTCACAAGACAACTTATTATTATTAATTTTTTTGAAAAGATTTCTCAAGAATCCAAAAGATTGTTAGTTGAAAAATATAAAGAACTCCGTCAGGATGATGCTTCCGGTGCAGCGCAAAATTCATATCGTATTACAGTTAGACAATTGGAAAGTATGATACGATTGTCTGAAGCTATTGCAAGAGCTCATTGCAATGATGAAGTAGGTTTGAATTGTAATAGATAATTAAATAAAAAAAAAAGCGAGCATTGATTTATTTGATATTTTTATGTAGGTAATTCCAGAATTTGTGAGTGAGGCAGCTAAACTTATGCAACAATCCATAATTCATGTTTATCATGATGATGTTGTATTGAAAGATGATAATACAATGGAGGTTGACGGTGTACCTCAAATTCAAGAAATTAGGATAACAAGAGAAGAACTTACTAAGATTCAAAATGCAATTATTGATAAATTATTGTCCTCAGAACATGAATGTATGTTTAACTATATAGCAAATTTAATTAATTGGTCGTGATAATTGAATATAAATTATCTTTATTAACTTAAATAGCGTGTCGCGAAGAAGATCTTGTACAATGGTACATAGAACAATGCGAAGAAACTTTGACAAGCGAGGCTGAAGTTGAAGCCGAAGAAAAAAAATTTAAACTAGTGGTGAAACATTTACTCAAGGTATTCATTTATTACATGCATTTAAATTTGAGTGAGTAATCGATTAGTTTATTCTGATGATACGTGTTTTTATAGGAAAGCTTTTTACAAAGAGTTCCCAGAGGTAGTCGGGAAGGTATCGATCTTGAAGATGATCAAGAAGAATACGACCAAATGGACGTTGAACAAGTAGAAACAGATGAACTAACTATACATCCAAATGTTGATACTAGTAATTACCGTCGAAATTAGTAAATATATAATCAAAAAATTTTTTTCAAAAAATTTTGTAGAATTTAACCCGATCGGGTTATGAGAACCAATTTATTAAGTTTGTATGGCCTTAAGGCCGCCCAACATTAAATAGTTCATAAAAGTGGAAGGACATAAAAAAATACACAATTAAAAAAAATACAGCAATTCTATTGGCTGTAAAAAAATGTAAAAAGCTAATGCTGCAATTTGATTGGTTAACGTGATATGTATTTTTCGGCCTAACAGAGTAGATTCTTTAATTTGATTGGCGTAATGACACGTGATCACACTCATATGACGATTGTTACATTTTTATTATTATTGGAAGCTCAAAAATAATAATTTTCTTTTTGATTTAAAAATATATGTACATTTATTATGTCAAAATTGTTTCGCTTGAATTGACATACGAATATTTTGTAAACTAAGAGTAATATATTGACTGCCACTGCAAACGCGTATTTGACAATTATGCTTCAGCTGCCATAGGCAATGCAAGAATTTCAGTTGATAACAAAAAGTAAATTATATATTCGATTTCATTAATGTTGTAATTATGTCTTTATTACTTGTAATTCTCTACTCACTACCAGAATATATCCTTTTAAAATGGGGTTGATTGGTTGGGTTTTGTTGCAATAGTCATGTGCTTAAGATTGAGTAAATATACCGTATATTAGACTTACTATCGAGTTAGGATTTCTTGATTCACTTTCCATTATTGATTCGTAATTGTTTTGTGTTTGTTTCTAAACTTCTAAAAAATTGGTTATATTCGCTAAATAAAAAAATCAGTTATATTCGTTTGTATTAAATTATAACAAGTTTCGAAGAGTCAATAAGTCTATTACCAAATAAGTTCCCTTTCCACAATTAAATTGGAACGAAATTACCTTATTTTTTATGTCATTGTATAAATCTCGGTCTATCTCTATCACTTCATGCAGAAATCTTCTAGTCTACGTATCGTCTAGGAATTAGTTAAGTGCTTTTTTATTCCATTTCATAAACTTCTTTTTTATTACTGGTCTGAAGGCCTGGATAGATTTTTTTTTGAAAATAAAATTAATAATTAGGTTGTCGGGTCATTTTTAAAACTTTATGTTATAAGAACCAAAAAACTAACTTTGTATGGCCTAATATTGTTGCCTAGCATGATTTATCTTCGTTACTTTTATGTGCTGTCTATCTCATTGTACAAATCTGACTAAAGCGTGGGGATTGGTTTCATAGAGTTGGAAAAATTCAATGGTTCGGTATCTTTTTTCCTCAGCCCATTAGCATTAGGTCTTTAACTCTATCGTTTGTTCATAAGAATATTCAAAGTAAAGAGTATTTTATTGCGCGGGCCGCATTTTTAAAGTTAGGATTGCTGTCTCTTTAGCCGGTACATATGGCCCAGTTCCTGGGTTGCTGGTGCTGTTGCTCCCTATTAGTTTCCGATACCTTATCGCTGTGGTACCCACTTTTGGCCACAGTTTTTTTTACATCGTTCAGAGCTTGACGCTCTGAAATATTATTTGGGAGGAGGTTTTTAGACATTTGCTGTTTGTTTGGTGCAGGTGGATGAACCCCTTTTTTCTCCTGTTTATTTTCTGAAAAATATCTAAGTCATTAATATTTTGTGGTTAAAGTTGCTTTGAGAAGCCCTCATAGTTTTTAACCACCAAAAATCGACAAAGAAAAAAATCGGCAAAAAGACATCAAGTTGGTCAAAAACAAGTAATACAGTAATATAGATATAGTAACAAGATCAAAAAAAAAAGAAAAAATGTGGATTGAGATCTACAGACACGTCAATATGATTGGCAATATCACGCGTAATAAACATTTTTGACATGTCACTACCAAAAATTTGGATTTATTTTATATTTTTTAGAAAAGTACTATCAATCAATCAAATAACACAATTTGAAAAATTTTAATAGACAATTTAGAATTTCAAAATTTTCCTCGATCATCATTGCAAAAATCATGAGATTAAATCTTTTTGCAAAGCGCTATAAGAATAAATCATGACCAATTCCAAAAATAATATATGATATCAGAACTCAATTTCAAAGAATTTTGATTGTAATTATAGAACGATCAATAGGTTCCAGAATTTTGCAAATTGTAATAATCGCCACTTAATTGCCACTTGATTGCTGCAATTGCTACTTAACAACCACTTAACAACTATATACTTTGCGGAAATCTTACATTTTTGCGATAGCGACAAAAAATTCTATATAGTATAAATTATTAATAATATAGATTGTTAATTAGTAAAAAAAAATTTAGTTTCTTACTAGCACTATTAATGAGGTTTTAAAGAGGTTTTTTGACGAAATACGAAAAATTTGTATTTTGTCGTTAATAGCGCCAGTAAGAACTAAATTTGAGATTTACTATGAAAATTTCCTATTAGCAATCTATATTATTAAGAATTTATGTTAGAACTTGTCACTGTTACAAAAAATAATAAGATTTTTGCAAAGTTGCATTTACTCAAGTCTGCATACACAAGTTATTACGAAGCTAATACAAGATTTATTCGATGTTGTAAAGAGATTATCGCAAAATCACTACAACATTATAAAAATTTAAATAATGATGTGAAAATATAGTCACAATTTCTTAACAAAATTGTGACAAGTTAAAATGATATTGTTACGATTAGAGGTGCAGGTGAATCGTCCCAATGATGGTGTAACCTTTCCGTAGCATGCCATATTAAATAATTATAAAAAGTTACGGCAAACATGCCGTAACTTTTTATAATTGTTTAATATAGTTGCGGCATGCTACGGAAAAGTTACGCCATCATTGGAACGATTCACCTGCACCTCTAGTTACGATTTAAATTTGTTATAACCGCTTTGCAGGATGTCATATACAATTTATTTGTGATTTAGATGCACTATATGTTAAAGAAACAAAATCGTGACAAACATGTGACTAATTAGTAATAATTTCTTGATGATTTTGTTAGGTTTTAGCAAAGTTGTACAAGCCTTTTCAGGTAAAACTCTATTAATAGTATAATAAACAAATTAAGGCAAAATTTCTACATAGAAACATGTCAGAAGTATATAATATTTAATTCTCTATCTTGAAGCTTTGGATGTTCTATAGAATAGGTGGGCAAACTCCACAACTCCGCCAAGTATTTATTAATGATTACTAATCGCTTATTTCTTATATTGCCCACCTATTCTATAGAACATCCCAAGCATTTCATGGAGCCAGTATAGGTTGAATACAATAGAATCTTTCAAATTTTTTTAAGCAAGCATACTTTATTATCTAATTAAAATATTTTATAAATAGTAAATTAAAAACCAATATAGATTCAAGAAAGTCAAAAGAAATAGTAGTGTTTTTGTTAAATAAATTCTGTTATTACAACTTCAAAAGTACTTTATAGTAAAAATTATTTAGTTTTTTTATTGTTATATTACAAAAAAGATAATAGGTGTTCTTAAGCATCAACCTAGATGCGATTTCATAGTGATCGAAATGGTGCAAAAATATTATGGCGTAATTTTAGCTATTGTTATAACATTTTGAATAAAAGTCAATAATATGAATAACGATATTATTTAGATATGCTCAAACATTAATATTCTTGTGATTTTCTAATAATTGTAGTGATATTTAACTACAACAATAGATCAAATAAAGATCTCAAATCACTGCTTGAGAGGATTTTAAAAAGTTTATCAAAAATTTTACAAAAGTTGTGTGTTGATAATGAAAGTTCATAATAAAAGTATAAAAACACTTGAGCAATACTTTATTCACTTTAATTTTTGTAAATTTTTGATAAGTTAGTGCAAAAAAAAAGGAGGTTCAGGACAAAAAGTTATTTGACTGAAATGGGTTGATCTTTAGTATAACTGAGCAATATAGAATTATTATAAAATTATAATATATAAACATTATATTTGAACTAATTTAAATAAATTTGAGATTAGTTAGGGTTAGTTAAGGGTTATAGTAAAGTTTATAGTTAGCTCTAGGGTTAGGGTTAGAGTTTTTTTATATTATAATTTTATAATATTTCTATATTACCCAGCTATACTAAAGAAAATCTGTATATATTAATCTGCTGTATCATAATTATATCTCACATTAGTGCTGCTATACTATAGTTATTTCTCAAGCACCAACCCTTCTTAATTAGTTGCTCACTATGTACTTCTTGCCTTTATTTGGTTTACAATAACTCTGGTACTCACAATTAGACTATCTTCTTATCTGGATTCTTTATCAGTTTCTTTCTTACTTCTAGCCAGGAATTCAAAAGGGTCAGTTTGTCTAGACTTTAAGTATCTCATAGTCACTTTCACCTTGGTCCATACTTTTAAAGTATATGTTCTTTTTCTCTGATGTATCTAGTATTTAGCAGTTCAGCTAATATATCCCCTACTTAAGAACTTGATTACTCAGTTCTTCAATCTTGAACTCTGATTCAAATCTAACTTTTTTGTAGTACTATTAAAAATCATTACTATTTCCAAATTTGGAACTTCTTAAATGATTTTAGTTATTTTAGTTTTTTAGATTTATTGTACCAAAGCTCCTATTACTAGATGGTGTAACCAAGATAACAGATTTGATTTTAAATTTAACCAATAATCAATAATTGTCAACTATAACACCAGTCTATTTTTCAAAATCATCATCTATAAGATTTGAACTCTAGATCTGCTACTTGGAGAAAGTAATGACTAGACTACTATATTTAAGTTACCATATCTCTTTCTATTTTTTATCTTTTTTCTTGTTATATCTATACAATATTTTTATTTTTTTTTATTTTTTTTAACTTTTTTTTTCTCTACTTTTTTTTATAAAGATAGTTTTTCTTTTATGTTTCTTTAATATCTTCTTTTTTTTTTCTTATTAGATTCCTACTTTTTTCTTCTATCTAATTGTTTTTTTATATCTTTTTTTTTTAAATCTTTAATTTTAATTACTAGATTAAAAATTATATAAATTTTTAATTTTTAGCAAAATTATTATATTTAATTGATAATCCACCACTCAACAAAAGCATGATCATAGTGTAATATGATGTGATTTATTATATAAATCTAATATAGCCTGAATGTAAAAAATTTTTAACATTTACCTAAGGAAAACTCTTTTTGTACTAAGTTAAGACTTTGTCAATTAATTGAAAATTGTAAAGCTCATCTTTGCAGTTCTAATAGTAGTTAAATCATCCAAATCAGCCTAGTGGATACCAAGATATCTTTAAAAAAACTTTTCTTTAACTATATAAACTTCTTTAAAACAATTACAAAGAAGTTTACATAGCTAAAAAAATATTTTTTAAAGATATCTTGGTATCTACAAGGCTGATTTGAATGATTTAACTACCATTAGAACTGCAAAGACAAGCTCTACAACTTTCAATTAATTAATTTAGTATAAAAAAGAGTTTTTTTAAAAAATTTTCTATATTCAGGTATATTAGATTTACATAGTAAACCATATCACATTACACTATGATCATACTTCTGTTGAGTAGTAGATCATTAATTAATAGTAATTATAATCTTTATTAAAAATATTTAAAGTTCTACTGTATTAGATTATAAAAAAATTTTACTAAATATTGTTTAGCAAATAAAAGAATTTATAAATATAGTACTACCTTATCTTAAATATTAAAAAAAAAAAAAAAATTAAATATTAATGCTCTAATCAAGTTTTATTTTCATATTACATATATGAATATTGTGATTCGTTATATGCTATTTTGATTAAGATCTGCTTCTATTTTTAGCGAAAATTTCAATATAAAAAAAAATAAGGGTCTCACCAAATTAAGATGGTTTTATAGTCTTCTTTTCTTGCTATTACACGTGCTTGTGCTATTTCTTGTACTGTGCAGTGCATACTCTGATCATGCTCAATAAGGCAATAAGAAATTGAATCCTAAACTAATATTCTCTATTATTTGGCTTTGATATCATTTTTACAAGTGTTCTGACTTAAGTCTATATATCTGTTTTCTGGATTTTAAACATTTCGCAATTTTTTGTATTAAATATTTTACTGGGTTAATGAATTGATAATCAATGATCGTTAAAGCCCAAGATCAAAGATCATAATGAAACTATTTAACTATCAGTTCTAAATTCTTTTTTTTTTTATAACATTAATAGACTTATAATATGACTTAAGGTATTCTCAAGCATCTAAATCAAT